GGCCTGTGAGTTTGAGCCCCGTGTTGGGCTCTGTGCTGACAGCTCAGAGCCTGGAGCCTGCTTTGGATTCTGAGTCTCCCTCTCTCTCTGCCCTTCCCCCGCTCATGCTCTGTCTCTCTCTCTCTGTCAAAAATAAATAAACATTAAAAAAAAAAAACCTAACAGGAGGCCAGTTGAAAAAGGAGGAGTAAAGTTTGCAGTCTCAGCCCCAGTGTCATGAAGTAGTGAGAGAAGAGCCAAAAGACAACTGCTTAATAACTGGCACAATGCTTTCAGTGAGAACTTGTTAAATGACCTGATCAGTAAATGCATGGATATGCCCCATTAGTGCTACATAAGCTCAGGAGAAAGACAGCAGTGTATGTAGGAAACAGAGCCTTCTGGGAGGGTACACGACATACTGCTGAAGAGAATGGACTTTTGAGTTAAGACAGTGCTAGGTTTGTCTGTTTCTACCACTTAGTATGTGACAAGTTACTTAACCTCTTTATGCCTCAGGGTGCTCGTCTCATGTATGGAAATAATAACAGCACAATGCTTGGGAAAAAATTGATTAATGGTAATTATTATTTCTGAGAAGAGATGGGATTTGAACAGGGCTTTGAGACATACATAAATTTTAGAGCTAACAGAAGAAAATGAACACTTCCTGAGTCATGTGGAAGGAGGGGACTTGTTTTTATAGCCCCAGAGCTAAAACCAGGACCAGAAGGTAGAAGTTAAAAGAAGGCAGAGCTTGGTTCAGTCTAAGGAACAGGGCCCCTTGGGAAACTCAAAGCTTCCCCTCACTGTTCAAACACCAGATTTGTGCACTGGAGTTGGAAGAGATCCCCATTAAATTCCCTTCCGAGGCTACGACCAAATGTTTCTACCATTTTAGGACAGAATAAAGAAGACAGAACCAAAAGTAGAAAAGGCTGTGAGAGCAAAGGGAGCAAAGAAGAGGTGCAGAACGGAAAGGAGGAAGCTGAGAAGGGAAGAGGGAGGCAAATTGGAAGACAGAGGAGAAGCAGCCAGAGAAGAGAAAGGTCAGGAGAGGAGTGGGTAAGGAGAGGAAGCCGGGTGGGAGATAGCATGGGAGGAAAACAGGGAGTGGCCAGAGTAAAAGCCATCTGGACTTACCTAAAGTGCCGGCTGGGAGCTACATTGAGATAGAGGAAGTGGATCTTCTTCAGGTATCTCTCTGTCTTCATAATGGTCATCATCTGGCTACCCAGGAGGGAAGTCTGAAATGAGAAGCCAGAGCTTCTCTTCTGTAATGTTTTCTTCCCAGGAACTTGTTTATCAAGCTGAGACCTGTATGATTAAAAAAAAAAAAAAAATCAGGAGAAAAGAGACAGAGCAAGGAGTCAGCTTGCCGCTGTTAGCAGTGAAACGAGGAGCAGATTGGATGCCGAAGAGGATGTGATGTAGTATTGTCAGAGCCTATACCCTACCCTACCACCTATACCCAAAGGTATTCACATACCGAGCAAATACCGTCAAGCAGCTATATTCACATAGACCAATCAATGAACAACACTTCCCTTTCTGACAAATGAATAATCATTCTGGACTTCTTATGATTACTATGAAGCTATTATTATATAATACTGAATGAAATGGGAATATTTTGTTTTCCCAGCTCATCATCTAGCAAGCCCACAGGACTGATTTCTCCACCACTGCTTCCTAACCTAGATCTCCTAACCATTGCCCCCATTATGCCTGCTTTCCAACTCTGCATGATTCCATGCCTGTGAGTCTTTCTTGCTCTTCCCCCATCACCACCTAACTTCTAGTTTCACATCCTTTCCTTTCCAGCCAGGATCCAATGGTGCATTCTTCAATCCCCTCAAGCCTACACCAGTACTTTCAGTCTTTTTACCCTTCAACGCCAGCCAACAAAATTGATATAAAAATTAATTTTCCAAGAAACCAAAAACTGAATACCTGGACTATACTAGTCAAGTATATAGCAATGTCACTAATTGACCCAAACCTAGATCAACAGAACAAGTTACCCCAGAGATAACAGTGCCATCCTATTCTAAAAGTTCATATCAACAATAGGGCTTGTAACCTTGATGTTGGATCGGGACATTTGAACCGTGTAACAGCTACTGAAGTTTCATTTCCTCAACAGTTAAGAGTCCTACACAATCTAAATTGGTTCAGAAGATTACTGAACCAGGAATGTCAGCCCCTGGATGGATTCCTGGTATCTGATCTCAGTTATGGGCTCATGCTGCTCTGGTATCTTCATACAAGTCCTCAGGCACCCTATATCTTTCAGTCCCCTCAGCTGCTATTCCAGACCTCTACCTACTCCCATGCCCAGCCCTGCCAGGCCCCACCTCATTCCCTTCCCTGCCTCCTTCCCTGCCCAGAGAAAACTGAGGTTCTTGGCCATCAACTAACTTCCCCTAGTTCAGCTGCTTTCCCACACATTTATCTGCCCAGATTCCCATCCTAATCAACTTGAGAGGAAGCAATGCCCTTTCTTCTCTGTAAGACTAATTCCTCCATTTGTGAAGTGGATCCTTTATCCTCTCTTCATGCTATATTTTCAATCTCTTTCTTTTCTTATTGTTAGCCTATATTTATTCATGCACTGTGCAAAAAAATATTGAACACCCACTTCTCAAGCATTGTCGTAAGGGCTATGAACATCTATCTTATTTTTTTTAGGAGGCCTATCCAGACACCAGTGTCCCATTATCTCTCTCTCCCTTTCAAGCCAACCTTCATGAAAGAATAGTAAAATGTGATTTCTACTTCCTTATCTCCCGTTTGCTCCTGAATGCACTAAAATCTGGCTTCCCCTTCACAAAACTGCCTGAAATAAATCACTCTCACCAACCTCCTCCTTGTTACCAAAACCAATGAACATTTTTCAGATTTTTCTTACTTGCTTCAGTAGCATTTAATACTAACTGCTTCTCCCTCCTTGAAACTCTCCTCTTATTTCACCTCATAGCCTGCAAGATATTTTGTTAATAACTTCAATCTAAACCAAAGTGCCTCTGATGTGCTTTCCCCTACATGTACACACACACGCACCCGTACACATACACACACACACAGGAGCAGCCAGGGGAAAGGCGGTGTTCTCTTTATTATATAGCACTTACCACAATTTGAAATTATATTTTATTGGCATCAACTTATCTAATATTATTCCAACTGAACTGTAAAACCCCAAAGAAAGAGAATGAGTGTGTCTTGTTCATGTCTGTTATCTCCAGCATCTAGCAGTTCCTAATACGTACTGGGTCTCCAGTGATACTTATTGAATGAATGGATGTCTGGAGGAACAGACCTGGAGAACTTCATGCAAGCTAAGCCACATTAGCTAGGCCTCAGAGACTTATCACCAGGTCCAAAGAGAAAAGCAAAGAACTTGACCCCTTTCCAACATCTCAGTCCATTCTCACTTTAGTTATATACTCCCAGGAAACATATTCAGGGCACAGGGCAGGTCTTGGAAAAAGAAAGGATCTGCTGGGGATCTTGAAGATATGAATTGTCAGCACTGTCCCCTTCTATCAGAGCCCCAGGAGCCTACCTATCTGTCCACCATTACAGCTTTAAGATTTTAGGAAAAAATTTGACCCAGCCATAAACTTAGAGCAAAAACTGAGGAAGCCAATCCAGATTAAAGGTAAAGCTACGCTTCTTCCCAGTGAATGTGTACTAGACAAGTTGCAAAGCACTTAGAAAATCAGGCCAGACTAGTATCCAAAATCTATAAAGAACTCACCAAACTCCGCACCCGAAAAACAAATAATACAGTGAAGAAATGGGCAGAAAACATGAATAGATAGTTCTCTGAAGACATCCAGATGGCCAACAGGCACATGAAAAGATACTCAATGTCACTCCTCATCAGGGAAATACAAATCAAAACCACACTCAGATACCACCTCACACCAGTCAGAGTGGCTAAAATGAACAAATCAGGAGACTATAGATGCTGGAGAGGATGTGGAGAAATGGGAACCCTCTTGAACTGTTGGTGGGAAGGCAAACTGTTGGTGGGAGTGGTGCAGCCGCTCTGGAAAACAGTGTGGAGGTTCCTCAAAAAAATTAAAAATAGATCTACCCTAAGACCCAGCAATAGCACTGCTAGGAATTTACCCAAGGGATACAGGAGTGCTGATGAAGAGGGGCACTTGTACCCCAATGTTTATAGCAGCACTTTCAACAATAGCCAAATTATGGAAAGAGCCTAAATGTCCATCAACTGATGAATGGATAAAG